TGCCCGTTTAAGCATGGGCTCTGCCTACAACCCACCTGGGTAACTTCTATCCTAACTTTTAACACTGTAGTTAAGTTCTGCTGTTTTGACCTTTATGTAAGTGAAACCACAGATTATGTTCTCTTTTATGTGGCTTCTTTCACCCAGTATTATATTTGAGATTTGTGCATTTTTTTACAACAGATAAAACATTCTTAAGTGATAATTGATAATTCTTTCCCTTTCTTATTGCTGACACTAGACCAGTGATGGCAAACCTATGACACGCATGTCAGAGGTGACACGCGAACTCATTTTTTTGGTTGATTTTTCTTTGTTAAATGGCATTTAAATATATCAAATAAATATCAAAAATATAAGTCTTTGTTTTACTATGGTTGCAAATATCAAAAAATTTCTATATGTGACACAGCACCAGAGTTAAGTTAGGGTTTTTCAAAATGCTGACACGCCGAGCTCAAAAGGTTCGCCATCACTGCACTAGACAGTACCCTATAGCTTGCCATGAAATAAACCATTAATAAGAAAACTATAACATACTTTTTAATGTGATCAAACTTCAACTTAAACGGAACAATTTTGCCTGTTCTTTGTTTTGAAAGTCATTGGAAGTAATTTTTTCTCTAAAAACAAATCTAGCTCTTCTCATACCATGGTTAGCATACTAACATTTTTATCAAAAGTCTTTCTGATCCCTTAGGTCTTATCTTTTTAAGTCTTTAACAAATAAAAAAAGTTTCAGAGACCACTCTGAAAATGATCAAGATATAGAAAAAAGAAATCAAGAGTGATTATGTTGAAGACAGAGTTTAAAAGGATGAAAAATTACCAATAGCCAGGTTAAGAAGTATACGAGGAGTAAATATGCTTAAGATGCTTAAATGAGGTCAGTAGAGGTACTTGGCAAAGGTGTACTATTCTGTAAGGACAAAAGGTTACAAAACAAGCAAAAATAATGTGATTTTCCCCTGGTACCAAAAGGGTGACTGTGGCACCTATAAAGAGGTAGAGGTGGTGAACGGGACTTCTTTTTGGCACACTATAGTCACACTACACTCATTCTTGTTACTATTAAAAATGTAAATATATGGATCCTGCATTGACTACATTCATTTAGTTTCTGTTCTCACTGATGCTGTGATAAACAGAAGACAAAATTTTTTTTTAAAATATATTTTATTTTATTATTTTATTTTATTTTATTTTTTTTAATATATTTTTTATTGATTTTTTACAGAGAGGAAGGGAGAGAGATAGTTAGAAACATCGATGAGAGAGAAACATCGATCAGCTGCCTCCTGCACACCCCCTACTGGGGATGTGCCCGCAACCAAGGTACATGCCCTTGACCGGAATCGAACCTGGGACCCTTCAGTCCGCAGGCCGACGCTCTATCCACTGAGCCAAACCGGTTTTGGCAGAAGACAAAATTTAGATGCTAACACCAAGATCTTTTAAAAAAATTTTCACTTATATATTTTAATTGTTGACAGTATTATAAATGTCCCCCATAACCCCTTTACCCTCTTCTGTCCAGTTCCTACTTCTTCCCCCAGGCCTTCACCACACTACTGTCTGTGTCCATGGGCTATGCATATCCTATCCCAGTGATGGTGAACCTTTTGAGCTCGGCGTGTCAGCATTTTGAAAAACCCTAACTTAACTCTGGTGCCGTGTCACATATAGAAATTTTTTGATATTTGCAACCATAGTAAAACAAAGACTTATATGGCTGGTGAGCATAGCGGCAGTGACGGGAGCCTCTCCTGCCTAAGGCGGCAGGTAGATATCCCCTGAAGGATCCTGGACTGCAGGAGGGCACAGGCTGGGCTGAGGGACCCCCCCCCCCCCGCCCTCTAGTGCACGAAATTCGTGCACTAGGCCTCTAGTAAATATATAAGTTCTTTGGTTTATCTCTTCCTGTCCCTCTCTCCCCTCTGAGATATGTCAGTCTGTTCCATCCCCATGGATTTATTTTGTTGGACAATTTATTTTGTTCATTAGCTTCCACGAATCAGTGAGATCATGTGATATTTGTCCTTCTCTGACTGGCTTATTTCATTTAACATAATAATCTCCAGGTCCATCCATGCTGTTTCAAAGGGTAAGAGATCCCTCTTTTTTACAGCTGCATAGTATGCCATTGTGTAAATGTACCACAGCTTTATCCATTCATCTACTGTTTCCAAATCTTAGGTATTGGAAATAATGCTGCTATGAATATAGGGGTGCATATATTCTTTCTGATTGGTGTATGGGTTTCTTCGGCTATTTTCCTAGAAGTGCGGTTGCTGGGTCAATTGGCAGTTCCATTTTTGATTTTTTGAGGAAACTCCACTGTTTTCCATAGTGGCTGTACCAGTCTGCATTTCCACCAACCGTGCATAAGGGTCCCCTTTTCTCCACATCCTCACCAGCACTTGTCATTTGTTTAGCCATTTTGACAGGTGCTAGTACCTCATTGTCATTTTAATTTGTATCTCTCTGATGATCAGTGACTTTGAGCATTTTTTCATGTCTCTTGGCCATCAGTATGTCCGCTTTGGAGAAGTGTCTACTTAGGTCCTTAGCCCATTATTTAATTGGGTTGTTTGTCTTCCTTTTGTTGAGTTGTACGAGTTCTTTATATTTTGGAAATTAACCCCTTATCAGCTGTATTATTGCCAAATATGTTCTCCCATACAGTGGGTTCTTTTCATTCAGATGATGGTTTCTCTTGCTGTGCAGTAGCTTTTTAGTTTGATGTAGTTCCATTTTTTAAAAATTTTTTCCTTTGTTTCTCTTGCCCAAGCACAGTGATCGGCAAACTGCAGCTCGCGAGCCACATGCGGCTCTTTGGCCCCTTGAGTGTGGCTCTGGCTCTTCCACAAAATACCATGTGCGGGCGTGCACGTACAGTGCGATTGAAACTTCATGGCCCATGCGCAGAAGTCGGTATTTTGTGGAAGAGCCACACTCAAGGGGCCAAAGAGCCGCATGTGGCTCATGAGCCGGTTTGCCGACCACTGCCGTAGATTTCTGTGAAAAGCCTGAGATTTTGCTGCCTATGTTTCCTTTTAGGATTTTTATGGTTTCACGATTTACATTTAAATCTTTTATCCATTTTGAGTTTATTCTTATGTATGGTGTAAGTTGGTGGTCTAGTTTCATCTTTTTGCATGTACCTGTCCAATTTTTCCAAGACCATTTGTTGAAGAGACTGTCTTTACTCCATCGTATGTTCTTGCCTCCTTTATCAAATATTAATTGACCATAGGATGTGGGTTGATTTCTGGGGCCTGTGTTCTGTTCTACTAATCTATATGCCTATTCTTGTGCTAGTACCAGTTTTTTTTTTTATTACAGTGGCTTTGTAGTATAGTTTGATATATGGTATTGTGATCCCTCCAACTTTGTTCTTTTTTCCAAGATTGCTGTGGCTATTTGGGGTCTACTTTCCGACTACTGATTTTTACCTCCTTGGTTAAGTTTATTTCTAAATATCTTAATTTTTTTGTTGTAATGGTAAACGGGGTTGTTTTTTTAATTTCCCTTTCTGAGAGTTCATTATTGGTGTATTAAGATGCCATCAATTTCTGAATGATTTTGTAACTGCTACTTTGCTGAATTCATTTATTAAATCGAGTAGATTTTTGGTGGAGTCTTTAGGGTTTTTATGTACAATATCATGTCATCTGCAAATAATAATTTTACTTCCTTCTCCTTTCTTCTTGTTTGATCACTGTGGCTAGGACTTCTGATACTATGTAGAATAAGAGTGGTCCTTTTCCCATTAAGTGTTCTTAGGGGAAACACTTAGTTTTTGCCCATTGAGTATGATGTTGACCATAGGCTTGTCGTCATGTATGGTCTTTATTATGTTGAGGTATGATCCCTCTATTCCCACTTTACTGAGAGTTTTGATCAAAAAAGGGTGTTGGTTTTTGTCAAATGCTTTTTCTTGATATGATCATGTAATTTTTTTATCCTTCATTTTGTTTATGTGATTGATTTACAAATATTACACCAGCCTTGTATCTCTGGAATAAATCCCACTTGGTCATGGTGTATGATCTTTTAAATGTATTGCTGGAATCGATTCCCTAATATTTTGAAGATTTTAGCATCTATGTTCATCAGGGATATTGGCGTCAAAATCTTTTTAAAAGAAGCCATATTTACCTTACAAAAATAACTCATGTTTTAAAATAAGAACGTCAGTTATCTTTTTAATTGTCAATCTTCTAAAAGTCATTCAAATGATTTGCAAAAAGCCAACAAAGATGTAATGGATAGACTAACCAATCTAGAGGAAGGTGGGGTGGAGGGAGTCAATGGGGAAGAAAAAGAGGACATCTGTAATACTTTCAACAATACTGATAAATTTTAAAAAAGATGTAATAGATAAAATGAAATATGGGACAGTTACTAATATTACACAAAAACCAGTACAATTATGAAGGCCATTATGACCTTGATCAGGGACATATAGCAGGGCTTATCTACACTCTTCTAACAATATAGAAGCTATATAATGCCTGTTTATGAATTATTCTTATGGCCTAGCAAAAAGAAATGGGAATGTCATGTATTTGTCTTGGAATTTCACAGGTTTTAAAAAGAAGACTACAACAGGGAGTCACAGAGAAATAAACTTTGGGATAAGCATATCAAAACAGGAGTAAAAATGGGAAAGGCCAATCAGAGGATGAAGGTGGGAAGATATTAAGGACCATCATAGTTTTGCTATTAGAAATATCTATTTCATGTTATCACATAGACATATATGGATTAGTCTACGGCCATACCACCCGAATGCACCTGATCTCGGAAGCTAAGCAGGGTCGGACCTGGTTAGTACTGCCCTGGCTAATGTGGCTCAGTTGGTAGGATTGACAACCTGTACACCGAAAGGTTGTTGGTTTGATTCTGGTCAAGGCACATCCCCAGTCCCAGTTGGGGTGCATGCGATTGGCAACTGAAAGATGATAAACGTTTGTCCCTCCTCCCCCCCAAAAAAAATCAATGAAAATGTCCCTAGGTGAAGATTTTTTAAAAAGAACTTTAGGAAGCCATTGTTATAGCTTCAGAGACTTCTACATGTCAAGAAAGCTAAAGAAGAGGTCAGGCTTTCTCAAGAGCTAATGCAGAGTAACATGAGATCAAGTAGCTCTGATACTTACTAGGTATAATTCTGGACAAGTATTTTTGCTATGTACGCACCCTGACTGGGGATCAAACCCACAACTACTGTATGAGCCCTGGCCGGGAATTGAACCCGGGACCCTCCAGTGCACAGGACAACGCTCCAACCAACTGCCAGGACTCAACATAATACTTCTATTATTTCTTAATCAGTTGGCCCTTGAATAACATGGGGATTAGGGGCATCACCCCCCAGTGCAGTTGAAAATCCACATTACTTTCGACTGAAAGTCTTATCAATGACTTAAATAGTCAAATAAGACATATTTAGTATGTTATATATAATATTTAATATACTCTTACAATAAGAGAAAAGTTGAGAAAGCATGTACATATATTTTATGTATTCATGACATACCTAACTTTTTCAAAAAATTTTTTCAATATTTCTAGGCTATGTGATTCACCTGCAAATTTCCCATATTGTTCAAGGATCAACTCTATACCTCCTGGACAGATTTTCCTGTGGTGGTAATTACTTTGTTTTAAGCACAATTTATGACATGAAATTTATTACCTTGGCTTCAGTGCTTACAACCGGTTTTACAGGGAACTGAACTTCTGTGGCTTTTAATATTGTATTTTCTTGAAGAATGTCTTGTTGAGATTGATTGTGACCAAATGGCTAAAAATAAAAAGTTGAGAAATTTATCTCACAAAAAATTTAAACAGATATTATCAGTGAATACTCAAGATACAAATTATTTGTGTTCTAAAAAAGTCTTGCCCTCAGTTACATGGAAGTTGGGATGCATTTTCATAGCAACAAAGTTATAATTTGTATCTGCCGAGACAGCCTAATTAATCAATCCTCAAAATAGCTGAAACACTGTGAATAAGCAAAATAAAATAATGCTACTGCAACATAGGTAATTAAGATAAAATAACATAAGAAATTTAAAACTTTATTCTTAATATTTACAAAATGAAATTTGATTCAAGATGAAGTAGTGGACATGCCTGTGGAAAGACCACTGAATAAAATACTTTGAGCATAGTACACTAACTTAAATGAAATAGCTCTGGGTTTGGTCCTCCTAATTTGCAGTCAATTTCCAGACAAGTTCATTAAACTCTCTTTCCATACTGATGAAGGGACTAGATGGGATGGGGATTAGATAATATCTATAATAGTTTGTAGTTCTGACTTCAAAATAAAGAGGTTTAGGAAATATTAAGACTTAAGTTTGGCGAAATTTCCCTGAGGAAACTATGTCAAGGCCAAACTGTGTGTGCATGCAGTGAGGGAGAGAGAATGGAGGATAATGAAGAGTTTTGGCTCCAGTATTCTTTAACAATGTTAGTACTGTTAACATATAGTTCTTTTCCTTCAGTTAAAAAAAAAGGTGTGTGTGCAAAATGCAGGCTAAGAAAACTGTTATGACGTTAAAATAATCCTGATCCACAGAAATTTTAGAAGAAATAGAGAAGAGCCCTAGCTGGTTTTACTCAGTGGTTAGAGTGTCAGCCTGTGGAACTAAGGGTCTCACGTTTGATTCTGGTCAAGGACACATGCCTTGATTGCAGGTCAATCCCCGGCCCACATCAGGACATGTGCGGGAGGCAACCCATCGATGTTTCTTTCTCTTTTCCTCTTCCCTCCCTTCTATTCTCAATGGTAAAATATCCTCAGGTAAGGATGGAAAGAAATAGAGAAGAAGCCTGGCTTTCCTTAGAAGGATTTAAATTGACTTTTGACTTTAAGTTAATGAACTTTGTATTTAAAAGGGGAAAATTCCACTTATCTAAATAGTACAGCTGCATCTGGTATACTTTAACTTACCTTTCTGCCATAAAGACACTGAAAGAAAATGACTCCAACTGACCACACATCAACCTTGTTGGAAATTTTTGGTGGTTCTTTTCCAACTACAAAACACTCAGGAGGTAAATACCTATAGTTTTTTGGGGAGAAAAAGGGAAAGGATACTATTAACAATCTGTAATTTAAAATCTAAGTGTAAAATCTCAGAACTAATTTTATCCACATAAAACCTTAGGACCTTCATGAATGAAAATCACCAATCAAGTTTTTGAATCCTTCTATCACCTGACCCTAGCACCAAAACATACAACTTTGAGATAAAGTATGATATACACACACATCCTAAAGTGTACAATAACATATATTATCATTAGAAATTACAATGTTCTAGGCACTTTCCCTTCCCGATTCATTTCTCTTTCCTTTCCTCCTCCCCAGGCATGTTACCATTAGCTTTCACTCCCAAGCTCCAAAGGACCTTCTTTTACCTCTAGAACTTGTTTGCTAAGCCCGTTTCTTCTAGGAACTACTATTTCTACCTCTGTAATTTGGGTAAGTGTCTAATAATAGAATAAATCCTCTCCCACTGCCCCCCTTCACCAGCATTCAAACTGTAGGCAGTTCTCTTCCTAAAACACACATCTGATCAGGTGGCTCTTCTGTTTAAAGAATCTCAGCATTACTAACTGTCAAGGTATATACCTCATATCTCGTTTGTAACACAAGACCCATCGTAATCCAGCAGCAACTTAAACTTCCAACATCTGCACTCACTCTTCTTCTCTACCCCTCAAACTGGCTAGGGAAAGCCAATTAACTGAGCTGCCCACACTGCTTTTCTGTCACCTATGCTTTTGAATATGACAATCTTGAATACCTTCCCTAACCCTCCAATTCACGTGGAGAGCACCTTTTCTGCTTCTCTCTAGGTAGAGCTTTGCTTCTTCCCCATGTAACCATCATGACTATATCTCTTTCCTGCACAGCCTCCTAAATATAAGCCTCCCTGTCTCATGTCTACCTGATAGAGGTAAATTTCCTTGTCTGCCCTGCCCTACATGAGTGAAGCCAGAGTGAGAGGGGAACAATATACTGGGTGTCTTTGCAGAAAAAAAAGGATTATTTAGAACATGGTTTTCAAGCGTCTTCCATAGGGTTCTACCAAAAAGCCTTGTTTTTATTGGTTTTACTTATTAGGACCCTAAGATTTTATTGTGAAAAAGCAAGCCTTGTTGCTAAAAGAAAAAAAGTCTAAAGATTACTAATTGAGGATACAACTATTTAGGGGGTTACTAGTTTGAATAATTTTCTTTAAGTATGAAAAAAATTTATGACGTATCTTATTCATATTCCTAGAAAATGCCACAAGCAGAATTTAAAACTTTAAAATGGCTTCAAAAGAATGCATGAACATGACTAATCCCTGTTCATGAAAAGTGAAGTCCGTACAGAACTGTGCTGTCTTATGGGACTGGTCACTATGTGCCCAAGCTATCTGTGAAGACTGTTTGTAGTCACCATCCTGTTCAAGAAAATTAAATACAGTTATCTTTCTTCCAATTAAAATGTCACTCCTTTTGCTCAACTAATTTATTCTGAAAACTAAGTTTGTTTTGAAATTTTATAATCTACGTTCTTCACTTTGGTGAACTGGACAATAAGTTTGACAATTCACACTGAAGCAATTTTTATTAGTAACTGTGAAGGGAATGACATTCATTTAGACTGTGAGTCTATGGTGCTATCTAGACTTATATCTATATGTAATGAAGTCAATAAAAGGTGTTTTTGAGAGTCAAGTCCAAAGGCCAAATATGCCAAATACTTCTCCCATCCACGATCAACAAAGCATTCATCTCCAATAAAAACTTTAACTACAAAACCTCTACAGAGAGGGCTTTTTGCTTATTTCCTGTAACAGTCAAGATGTTATATTTTTGTAAGTATTTTTTTCATGAAAAATGTCACTCTAACATTATAGAAAAACCCCCACACATTCTCCACATTAGGAGTTTCTGGGTAGGTACTGAAGTCACCTGCTAATGCTAAGTCTTTCTCCCTCTAGTTTGCTGAGATGAGTCAAGAAGACTGATGAACGTGGCCTTCCGCTCAACTCAGAGACTTCACATCAGTACCCTCAGTACAGTAATCTCAAAGGTACATGGAAAGAAAAACTAAACTCTCATAAAAAGCCTTGTGACTAATCTAGACAATTTTGATGTTTTCAGTAATATATTTACCAGTAAGTGCCTGCCCCTTGGGAAGTTAGGTCCATTCCATCTACACCATAGCTATCGTCATCCATGATCTTGGACAGACCAAAATCAGTGATTTTGATTTCTCCACAAGCTGTTCCATCCACCAGAAGGATGTTTCCTAGGAACAAAATAAAAATAGAAGGTTCTTTTAATGATACATAGATAAATAACATCTTTATGACTTACGCTAACTTTTGGGAAGTAAATATAATTTTAAAAAGTGACATGACAAAAAGACTTTAAATTCTACTACTCTATTGACATTTACAAACTAAACCAAAAAGCATGTTTTCAGGTAAATGAATAAATATGACATTATACTCCTTAGAGCTTAAAAATTTATTTAGACAATTTTATTAATTACCTGGCTTAAGATCATAATGTATAATAGGGGGTTTGATTTCATTGAGATATCTTAGTGCATTTACAATTTGCATTACAATAGACCTAGCTTCTTTCTCCGACATTAATTTATGTTGCTTCAGATAGAAATCCAAGTCATTGCCTTCACAGTATTCTAACACTGTACAAAACCTAAAATGGAGAAGATTAAAAAAATTAGATATAAAATATTATCCAATAATTCAGAATCATAGTGAAGAAATGAAGTCATTTATACCACCACCACAGAATAGGGAAAGCAGAAAGCAAACATATCTTTACTTATATTCACTTACGTATCTGTATCCAAGGAGAAATAATCATAGAGTTTAACTATTCTGGGATGATCCAGTTCTTTGTGTATTCTATACTCTCTGCAGGCATGTCTACAGGAAGAGAGAGTATTTTAATTCTCCATTACCATTAAATATGTTTTCAATTGATAAAAAGAATGAAGTATTATATTTACTTATAGTAATTTTCCTTTTTCTCATCCCTCCAGCTTTTATTAAGCTGATGGATCTTCACAGCAGCGTATCTTTGTTCATAAAGGTCAAAAGCCTAGGATTCAAGTCACAAGAGTTAGGACCAAAGACCAACTGAATAGCTGTAAGAGGTTAAAAAAAAATTTGGTGATGATTTTCTCATAATATGGAATTAGAATATACACTACAATTCTTGTGTTGATCTTTGCTAAGATTATATACAGTTCAATGACACATGATCAGAAACAAGATACATATCCCATGGTGCTAAATCAGAGGAAACTTTAAGTTTTATAAATGAATCAAAATAAAACAACAAAGCTATTTTTTGTTTTTAATATGAACCTGTTCCTCTATCCTGGCAGCAAACAGTCAGGAAAACAAATGGCTCTAATGCTTTTTTTGTGGGTTGGATAAAGCAAACCTTTTTTCTCTAGCTTCTCCTAGCAACTCCCCACCTTTTCCCTCACTTGTTTGAAAATTAACAAGTTCCTAAACTTTAATTATGAAACTGTTCAAACAGACATTATCACACCTAACCTCATCTAATACCCAACTAGTCTTTAATTTTCCCTGGTTGTCTAAAAAAAAAAAAACACACCAAAAAACGGTTTTGATACTTGTTTGTTTAAATCATCAGTCTATTTCTTAAGTAACAAAATAAAAAGTGACCAGTATTATTTAAGACTTCAGGTGACTTAAAAAAATTTTTAAACAACAAATGCCATTAAAAGAGAGACTTAATAATTTAGGTTTCACTGTGATTTATATACAAAGGTGCCCCTTTAAGAAAACACTTAGCTTACATATTTATTAAAAAAGCAGGTCCTAACTCACACTCTCCCCATCAATTTAATCTAAAAATAAGCAGTAGTGGTAAACTACTTATCATAAAATTATAGAAGCATGAGATCAGAAATAATAAAGGATAGAATAATTAAGAATATTCATTTTGGAGTCAAGATAACCTTATTAGCTGCAGGACTTTGTGTTAATACCCTCTCTCAGCCTCATTTATAAAGTTTGGGTTGTTAAAAGGATGAAATGGGGTGAAACATATAAAGTATTTATTTATTTATTTATTTTTTAAATATATTTTATTGATTTTTTACAGAGAGGAAGGGAGAAGGATAGAGAGTTAGAAACATCAATGAGAGAGAAACATCGATCAGCTGCCTCCTGCACACCCCCCATGGGGAATGTGCCCACAACCAAGGTACATGCCCTTGACCGGAATCGAACCTGGGACCCTTCAGTCCGAAGCCGATGCTCTATCCACTGAGCCAAACCAGTTAGGGCCATATAAAGTATTTAGAAAAGTATGATTCATAGTAAATATCCAATAAATATTAGCTAATTATATTAATTAAAAGTTGGGTTTAGGTGTGCCCTCCCTCTAGGGAGCATGCTTGTGTCTTTCTCTTCCTCCTCTTCCCCCACAGGAATGCAACTCTTAAATTCTAAGGGACCCCACGGGACTTGCACCCAGGGAGCAGTGGGCAGTGGCCAACCCCCCTGAACCTGCCCCCAAGGTCCCCTTTTCTCTGACTTCTTAGTGAGCCAAAGCAGCCCAGCCTAGGCTCATTTACCCTCCTAGTCTCTCGCCAGTTGCTTCTTCTATCCTAGGCCCTTCCTTGTTTCACGGTTTCCAGCTTTAATAAACTTCTTCTAAATCAGTGGTTCTCAACCTTGGCTGCACATTAGAATCACCTGGGAATGTTTTTAAAATCCTGATTTCTGGTCCTCATCCTCTGGAAATTGTTTCTTTGTTATGGGGTGGGGCCACAACATTAGTAACAAAGAAACAGAATTTCCGGAGGATGAGGCCCAGAAATCAGGATTTTAAAAACATTCCCAGGTGATTCTAATGTGCAGCCAAGGTTGAGAACTGTTCTAAATGCATTTTTTTTAAAAGTTGGATTTAAAGAAATAGAAAAGAATTTTCAAAGATTCATGTGAGAGAAAGCAGAGTGGCATAAAGGACAAAATTCAGAGGCAATCATAATAAATGAAAATAGATGAAAGTAAAATTAAGTACACTAGTGATAAAAGTTAGTGCCAGTGTATGCTGATTATAATAGTTATATATGACACATCTTTCTCCCAAGATTAGATGAGTAAAGTACCTTCTCATAATACAGTTATCACTAAGCAACTGACTCAATCTTTGCCACCGTGGTACAGATAAGTCTATAAAATTTGATTTACAATCTGTTGCTTTGTTTCTCAATGGACCTGACAACCACGAAAGGGCTTTGTAGAGGTTGGAGTGAGTGCTTAGTATTTAGGTCAGTACTGAAGGTTCAAGTCGCTGAGCTCCCATCTGCATTTTCTAATTTCTAAAAGAAAATCCCCTTTGGCCCTAAAAACAGTGGCAGAAGGGTGCTGTGATTAGTAGGCTGAGCTAGTAGTGTTATGTAATTGTACACTTTTGGTGATTTTTAGATCCAAGGTGAGCTATTATGATTTTTTCCACCATGAGGCCTGTGTAAGCCTACTTCAATCATTATAGTGCACGAGGATGAACTATTGTTAGAATCAAAGATATAGGAATTATAGGAATTATAAGCAAGCTCATAGATCACTCCTGATAGGGGAGGCCCATGATACGTATTACTTGTCCAACTTAACAAAACAAAACAAAAAAAAATAGTTACTGGTTGAGCTAAGACTAGAATTGAAGTTCTCAGAATTCAAATTCCAAATTTTCCCGGAGTCAGAACAATACAGAATGTTTTTAGTAAGCCACGAAGGCACAGTCCTTGTCTCACTACACAGAGGATTTCTAATAATGATGATCTTACATTTATTAAGCACCAATGTTCTATGTGATTTACCTGTGATAGCTCAATCAATCACAACCCTACGATGTAGGCACTGTTATCATTCCCAGATGAAGACAGTGAGACAGAGGATGATTCAGTAATAAGCCCAAGATTATACCGTTATTTAACAGCAGTCAGAATTAGGATTCAAACCCAGTCAGTCTGGCTTCAGAATCCGAGCTCTTAACCACTAACTATACTGATATATAATGAAGCACCAAGTATCATAAGGAGCTTATAAAAGGCGGATAAACAAGGAGCGCTTCTAAAGGAACTGAAGTTTCAGGTGAGAGCATGACTTCATCCTAACTAAGAGCAAATGGGAAGCCACCGGGGCTTATAAGAGAGAGAAAATTGTACTGTATTTTATAAAAAGGCTACTCTAGCTGCAGCTTACATAAGTACACTGGAGAAACTTAATGCCCTTGGGGAGCAACGCAAACAAGAGACAATGTGGCCTTGAGCTAAAAGAAAGGAAAGGGCCACTGCTGGATTTAGGAGAGTTTGATGACATTAATAACAGTGGGCACCCAGGGTCTGGTTACATGCTGGGGAAGGGAAGGGAAGGGAAAGGCAGAGTGAAGGATGGCTTTTATGTTTTTAACTTGAGGGACTAGGCAGTTGAATAGCAATGCTATGTACTAAAGTAGGAAGCAGTGTTAGAAGAAGGGGTTTTGGAGAAGAGAAAAATAACTTCTAATTAAGAAGTGAGTTTGCACACACATAGACACACAGATACGAGGGTGAAATCAAATAAATAAGTCAGTGAATGGCAGGGATATATTTGAAAAGGAGAATACAGAATAAGAGACTTAAGGACTACAATATTTAAAGCAGAAAGATACAACATAAAGTGGAAAAAAAGTGAGGTATAAAACATTGAAAAACAACAAAAAAACGGAACATAATGAGTAAAAATTTGTACATTTACACATATGCATTTAAAAAACATGGGCATTAAAATAGGTAGAAATTTCTGTAAATTCAGGACATGTAAGATTTCTGAGACACATGTTTAAATATAAGGGTATAATCTGTCCATAAAGGTACTATATCATATGACTACCTGCCTATCTTGATTCTAATGGCTATTATTTGTATTGAACTGGCTAATGGTAACTAGGTAGCAAATACTTGATGGACTGTACAGGTGCAAACATAGTCTTTAGACCCTTAACACATTGCAGACAGACCGTGTTTTCATATTATACTGTGTTTTACAAAGTATGATACTTTAAAAAGATATTAGCTTATAAAAACATGTAATAAATAACTTCAAAATGCTATGGGTATTTAATTTTAAGGCTTGCCTTTAACATTTACGTAAAACATTTTTTTGTACTTGTTCAATAGAAACTTATCTGGCCACTGGGTAAAGCTAGCAATAAAACTACTGGTCCACATTAAGATACAACATAAGCCACCAGACTTTTTGTAATGAGAGTCAGTACATAAAATTTGCCCCCCCCCCCAATTATAAAATTAATAAAAGACAAGTATTTCTTAACCACATACAGGTATCCCCCACTTTCTGAGAGTTCGCATTAGGCCACTTTTCTTTTACAAAAGGCCTACATTTATTTGTACCCTTTTTGGCTAACTGCAATAAATACAAAGAGGGTTTTTGCTTTTATGAGAAAAAGCAAGAAGTAAAAATAGCTTTCAGTGCTCATTTCACAGGGTTAGAGGCAGTGCACACCCTGTGCAGCCAGAGTGGCAGCCCCAGGTCCTCCCTCTGGAACCACACTCAGCATCTCAGTATCAAGCCGGCATAGCTTTGACCTGTGTTTGTGAGCTTTACCTGGATTTACTTTGTGCATTAATTAGCAAGGCATGTCCTAAGCTTTCAGAAAAGCCTAAGAAAGCTCGTAAGGGTGTTGCACTTATCATAAAACTGGACATAATTAAATGTATTTGGTATGATTTGGTGGGTTATTTAGGGGGTCTGGGAATACTTGAAAAAATTTCCATATAAATTAATGGTAACTGCTTCTTTGCTTTATGCTATTTTGACTTCTGAAAGGTTTCATAGGAAACACTTGTGGATAGTAGGGGAAACTTGTACTCCTATATTATTAGTGTGAAGAACAGAAAAAAAAATTACATTACCTTATACACTTCACTAAAGCCACCTCTACCAAGCAGATGAAGTAATAAATATCTTTCATTTAACGTTGGGTGATCTTTGAACCTTAAGGGTGGAGGAAAAAAACAGTCAGTTAACATGAAAACGCATACAAAAAGGTTCTGTCCACAATAAAGTTCCATGCTTTTATTCTACCTCTAGCTATTTCTTTCTCACTCAACTGCTAATTCCAAATTCTGTTCCATACTTTTTTATCTGCATGACTATCACCCACCTTAA